TTGAAATTCATTTGTTAGATATTCTGAATGTTTTATATTTTGTTATCAATTAGTAACCTTTGGAAGCTGGGTAACATATTTTAAGTAAAATAGACTCGCTGAATTAATGAGTTTACCATAGTCCAGTCGGAACTACAAACCTCTTTTTCAATTGGCATGCTTGGTGCGGTTGAACAGTAGTGCATAACTTTGCCTGAATACATGTAGTTTTTTTTCAGCAAACGACACACCTGTTCTATATTGTATACACAAATATTTAAATCGATCCCCAGTCTTCTTTTTTTTTTAAATAGAAATCGCTCAAGTGGATCGCTCTTAAGAGTCACGCCGCATCACACATAACTTTGCCTGAAAACATGTATTTTTTTCCAACAAACAACAAGCCTATTTTATATTGTATACTAAAATATTGGTATCAACCCCCGATCTTTTTGTATAGAAATTGCTCAAGTGGATCGCTCTTAACAATCACACATCACACAACACATCACACTGGAATAGTGTATTATTATCACTAGCAGATTTTACCCGTGGCAGCACAGGTGGTAGGAGTCATTTTTCTTTATCAAGGAGTCTGTGGGGGAGGGGAGGTGGCTTACTTTGTCTTGTCTGTACAGCTAAACTGCCCATTCACACTGACAGCAAAGTAGTTTATTGATGAAATATATTTAAACATCTTGTTATTGATTCATAGCAAACTTCTTTTTCAATATAGATAGAAGGTTCCATTAAGTTAAGCATCTTGGGTTGAACTGGAGGAAGAACTTCAATAACCATTACCTAGTGAAATCCAAATCTAACTATAGAATGGAAAAACGTATTAGAACACGGTGTATTTAAGCATTCAAGAGGCAATTATTGTGATATAGAAATGTTATCATTACATGAACTGGGTCAGAAATAAATATGTAAGTACATTATACATGTACCTTACAATCAGGGGCGTACGCAGGATTTTTTCAAGGGGGGGGGGGGTTAACATTTTGAAAGGGGGGTTTTAGGGGGGTTTTCTTAAAAATACACACATAAAAAATACCAAGGGGGGGGGGTTAACCCCCTAAACACCCCCCCCCCCCCTGCGTACGCGTCTGCTTACAATGTACATTCGACTGCAGTTGTTCGTACTTCTTCAATTAAAGTTTGCTCAATCATATATAAGTTCAGTGGGAGGTCGAAAAAAAAAGTTAGAGTAGGGACTTTTAGATTTGCGTGGACTGATACGTGTGACGTCCATTCAAGGCAGTGCATTAAAAGGACGTCGATCGTAGCATAGACCTATTGTCTTCGTGCGAATCTAAAAGTCCCTAGTGACAGAAAGAGAACGAGTAGGTGGGGGTGGATAACTCGAGGGGGAGAGACACACACAGAAACAGTGGTGGAAAAAAACGGGTGAGAGATAAACACTCATGAAAGCTCATGGCGCTAGCTCAGCAACAGTTCTCTTTGATACAAGTAAAGTAAACAATTTTACAATATATTTTTACAACATATGTACAACAGAGTGTTGTAAAATACATGCCAAACAAAATGTAAACGTGTCAATTGAAGGCATGATACAGTGTAGAGATAGGATCAGAATATATCAGATGGCATGTCAAGGGGACTGAATGATAAACCTTTTTTACTCAGTACGTTCTTACCTACGTTGAAATAAATAAATAAAATCTACATGTAGTATATGTACCCGGAGGTCTCTGTCTAATATAAATACTGTTAGTATGCGTGACCAGGAAAACGCGTATAAAGGGGTGTTTTTTTTATAGATTGGACGCGGTCCGCGCGGTGCCGCATGAAGGGGTTCAAAAACATTCATTTTGGGCCATTTTCAAGAAAAGGGTACCTTTTTCAAAATGGTTTAAAATCGTGCTTTACGTACCGGTATACGCGTTTGGGGGTATTTTTATGGCCCTCAGGGGCCAGACCTACCAAGTCTCACGCCTCAATTGTTCAGTACGTTGGCGCACTATAAATCACGACATTGCACAGTTACTGCGCAGTCATGTGGGTACTTTTCGTAAATCATGAAAAACGGCTCAAAACCGTCATACAAGTAATTATAAACAAACATTACTGCACGGTTATCCGATTATTTTAGCTCAAAGCACGAAAAACGCCAATGCCGATTTTTAGGGTTGACTCAAAACCTGTCATACAAATAATTATTGTCCATACCACAAGTACTAATATAAATTTTTTTTTTATTTCATCCACCTTTTCAACTTTCAACAACTTTATTTTTGGTTACATAATTTAAATAAGGGGGACTAAAATAACAAGACACAAGCTGAACAAGATAATTCGGTTAATGCTACATACCTCTCCTGGACATTTATAGAGGTACTGCATATGCTTCGATAGGCCAATGGCGATAGTTGCATGTTAGAAGCAGTCGCTACGACGTGCTTTATGTTTAAGTTATTCCAATGAAGCTACATAGCAATGTTTACAAGTATTTCATTAAATATTACAACCTGAGGAAACTGTGTTTAACAAGTGTAGAATAATCTGTTTTAATAAAATGCCCGGTGCAGGTATACTGTTTTTCACTCAAGAAAAGTATCACTCCTTTATAAGGTCGGCCAATTACTTGCCATCGTTAAAGGGATAGTTGACTTTTGTTGCAGAGGGCGCAACACAAAATAGTTTTGTTGTGAGATAATGAAATACTGAGTGCTAAACTTAAAACAACATACAATTTTAGTGACCAAATTATCTTTTTTTGATCAAAATCGGTTCAGAGACGGCTGAAATATCCATAAATATAACGATTTCTAATATTTATGGTGCCCCACAAATATTCGATAATTTGAACCAGCCGTTGACAAAACGTAATTCCTTCTTCAGCCAACGCCGATGTTGGCTTTTTGTTGGCCTTTTCGTGTTGGTTATAATACGCACAACTAGCCAGCCAATTCATTGTTATTATTAATTAATTAATTAATGGTCACCGTATATTTTTTAAAGTGGAGCTGAATTGGTCGGGTATGATCATATAGGCTAAATTTCACATATTTTTAAGTCAAAAATAGCAATTTTAGGTCCTAAAAGAGCACTAGAAATGTCATAAAGAAGGATAAGAGCAATAACCATGCACTTTGAAGCCTTTTGCGGTCTGAAGCAAGAACTCAACTATCCCTTTAAAAATTCAAGACATAATAATTAAATAAAACAGCTAGAAACATAGTGGTAGAGGGCGGAAAAGTTCAGTAGTCTCTTGTAATTACCAGCGAGCGTAATCATACACACAAAACTTAGAATGACACAATATAATATTCTAAATGATTTGCTCCTGTAAACAAGTCGCTAGCTCGTATAGGGAAAAATAAGTGACTGTCAATGCTCTATTTCCGACAAAGAATTATAAAACATATCACATTTGTTCCAAGGTTTGGATATTTTTGGAAACAATTTTCACTTTATGTTTTTTGACCAAGGACGATAACTATTTTATTATCTTACTCTTGGGGAAACATCCTACTCGGGAAACAAAACCAAGAAATTAAATCTCACAAAATTTAAATCGTGTTACTTTGAAAGTAATCTATTATTATATATTTTGATGCAAACAACAAAACATTTTAACCGAATAAAACTATTTTCTCCACTTTATAACCATGTAGAAATGAACCGGAGAGGAGGTAGCTTAAAGGGGGCTGTAGAATGACGAGACTATTTGTCTTACCCGTGGCCTGACTCGAGGCCAATCGGGTATACTACTACGACTATGGACGACGCGACCGCAGTAGACCTGTGCGTGCAACATACGCAAAACCGAAGAGTGAGGAGAACTTCGGTCTGTTTAGCGAACGCTAGAGCGCTGACCCAGTAATAATCAAGTCCATTCGTTTACGTGCAGTTCTCCAAAAGAAGTCGTGGATAACGTTAACCAGTATTTACCATGCTACAGCCCCTTTAATATATAGGAAAAACAAATTATATAAACACAGAGTAAAGTGGCAACATATAAACAACGTTATACAAAATAGGGTCCCTCCATGGACCAAACACAATGACCACATACATGGCCCTTCATTCAAACCGAAGGAGGGATACAGCCACAACCAACGTAAACTCTGTCGTTGTTTTTTGTTCAAAATATTATTTTTTCTTCTCGTTTATTGTTTTCTGCTTTTATTGTTATCGTTACCTCCCAACATTATATATTTCATTTGGGACTCTCAATAATGCCAGGTTAATATTCATTTAAAGGGGAAGTCCACCCTGAAATTAAATTAGTTTTAATAGGAGTAGAAAAATGAGAGAAACAAGTCAGTGAAAGTTTGAGCAAATTCCGATTAAAAATAAGGAAGTTAGGATTTTTGAAGTTGTGATCAATCAAACACAAATTGGCAACTCTATGACGTATCATGCGAGCTCAACTTCCATTTGCTCAGTACTAAAAAAATCTAAAATTTTCATTTTCCCTCAAGAAAAATTTCAACCATACATGCACCCTAAATATAATAACTGCAAATATGTTTCTATACTCCCCCTGCAAGGAACAAATATATATTCCGTCATCAATAACGAAGAAAACATGATTTTATGGAATATTATGCACAAAGCAAATGAAGGAGAGCTCGTATAATAAGTCACAGAGTTGCCAATTTGTATTTGATTGATCACAACTTCAATAATTCATATCTTTCTTATTTTCATTCAGAATTTGCTCAAACTTTCACTCACCTGATTTTCTTATTATTCTGCCTCTATCGAAACAAACTTATTTTGGGGGTGGACTTTCCCTTTAATCTTTTCAACAATATCTGGGAGGTGGGCCTTCCCTATGGGAGGGAATGTGCATAAACAAGCTTCTGGAAGATGATATCGTTTATTAATTGCATTCACTCTGCAAGTGAAACTATACATGTACCTTCTATATTAATCTACTCCATTGACTTACCGTATCGATTGGTTGTTCTTGATAAAAACCGATCAGAATCGTTATTCTATTGTTGTAGGACATGGGATTTTGTTTTAATACAAATGTGTTTTTTTTGTTTATTGTACTCTACAATACTTGAACATATTAAGAGACAATTTTTTTCAAATTCTATACACAGTATGTTGGTAATAAATGTATTATTATATTCAGCATGTAAAACAAAAGTATCTATGAGTTGCCTATCGATTACTTATATAATAAGCTCCAAATGCGTTTATGAAAAAGGAAAAGAAATTGTTTTTAAAATAATTTTATTTTTAATATATAAAAAGAAAACATTCTGAACGAACTCGCTTTCAAAGCTCACTATAAAAAATATATGTTACACGCTTCCGATACAGCATGTTCAGACGGGGTTTGCTTTTGGTCTGCATCTCACGACTACCATTAGGAGGAGAACGACAACCTCGATGAAAGCTAATAGTTTGAACGTTGCGTTGTAGGATGAGAAGTGATCCGCAATCATTCCTGAAAAAAAATACAATGAGAGCAATTTGAATCCACTTTGTTGATCTGAATACCTATGAATAAATCCCTTGATTACAGTTATTTGATCAGTCACTATTTTGATCTTTTTGCATTAATTGCGTTATCCAATCTATTTCTACATGATTAACCTGCAACCCTTTAAAGCCCAAGTCCACTCCAAAAATATCTTACTTTCAATAGAAGCAGAAAAATCAGACTAACCAAGCAAAAAAAGTCTGAGTAAAATCGGATAACTAATAAGAAAGTTATGAATTTTTAATGACATTAAAAACTTTGAAAATCACTAGACAAATTGGCAACTCACTCATGAGTCTGTGACCTCATGATATAAATTTCCTATTTTCTCCTTAAGAATCTTATTTATTTACACCAGCAACCAAGTTAAATTAATTGTAATATGTTTTTGTGTGGATGCACTAATATAGAGTAATTTTTTCCACAAACAGTTAAATCATGAAAAATGTGAATTTTGATAAACTTTTTATATAAAAATCAATAATTATGAATATACAATATTCAGAAAAAAGTATAAGTTCTTCAAAGTTCATAGAAGATTTTGTGATATGTCATGCACGCAATATGATACAAATCATATAACCTGGGCAAAGGCATGGGGAAATCAAGTTTGGGGAATAAAAAGGGAAATTAATGGGATTAAACCATATAGAGCAATTGATAAATAGTGAGAACATGACGTCACAAACTGATAACCATCTTTGCAATTTGTGTTGTATTTCTCATTGTTCCGTAGTTTTACATACTTTTTCAAATAATCATAACTTTCTTATTAGTTATCCGATTTTGCTCAAACTTTTTTTGATTGGTTTGTCTGATTTTTTCTGCTTTTATTGAAAGTAAGTTATTTTTCGAGTGGATTTGTCCTTAAATCATTTGGTGCCCGCTGGACCAGTCACGTGTGAAGATTCTCTTCATGACGGATGTTGTGTATTAAATGAATATTCATTTCATAATGACTATTCGATATAAATAGACACTGATATGTATCATATATAAATCAGTAACTGTACCCCAAGATTATTGTATTTATTATTTGGTCTCGATACAGCTCTTATAATTGCTGCCCTCTATCGCCACCATTATTTTCCTCGTCTGCGTTTGATACCAATGGGCGTTGTCTTCATACCCATTAAATCCTTAAATGCAAACTATCTCTAAATTACTGGTAGGGAACTGTACCCCACACCTACTGAGTTTGCAATCTTTGTTCAGTCTATCATTGAACCTAATAACATTATAGTTTTTTTTTAGCTGTTAGAGCAAATCAGTTCATAATCGTGTTTTTTTAATTGCATTCCAAATCAACGAATAAAATCACGAGAAGGGTTAATTGTTGAAATTGATCTTATCGAACCATTTTCTTTGCTTTCATGAAGGTTGTCAAACTGATTTTCTTCTTTCTGGAAACAACATGAAAACAAACTAAAAATTCTTTTTATTCAATTCAAGTTAAACGTAAAGACCAGTTTTGGAAACGCCCCCCCCCCCCCTCTCAAAAAACGAAATGGAAGTTCTTATTACCAATTATGTGAAAGAATATGTTTTGACTAATACGTAATGATACAAATTTTGCCGGGAAACCGCCTACTGATTGATATGTTTGGTAAATTATTATATCTATCTGGACTGGATAGATATATTGTAGTCCCATATGCATCTGTATGTGTACAGTGCTTGTAACTTTACCAAGACTGGGCCAAATTTCTTATCATTTTGATGATTCCAGAACCTTGCCGGACACACCAATATATATATATATATATATGCTAGATGATCAACCTTTTCTGATCGATTCCACAACGTTTCTTTCACAAAGCAATCGCCTGACTGGCACTAGTCTATACCTTTAACAACAACAAATTATTTTAATGGCTCATATGCGTTTTTGGTGAATCCTTACCACTCAAATAGCCACCAAGAAACCGCCCGGATCCGATAAAAATTAAGGCGGCTGCATACACGACATCAAACTTCTCTGGAGATGCTCTGTACCTCACAACCAACTGTCCTAACACCGCCTCCCCTCCTACTGCCATTGCGGAGATACATGACGTCACCAACATGGCGTAGAAGTTGGTGAAATACACGTCGCAAAGAAGAGTGGCGATGTTTAACATTGTAGCGAAGAGAAAGAGGGTAACAGGTTTGACGAGGCTGTTGGTAAGGACACCTACAGCAGCCCTGCCGAAGGTATTCCCTATTGCTGCTGAGAAAGTGATGATAATGGTGTTCCGGACAGAGATTCCCCTCTGCAGAGCATGCGGTATAAGAAAGGAGTGCCAACCTCCCCAAACCATATGCGACGCGAAAATTGCACCAAGTAGCACATTGAGCACAGGATCCACGTAAAAATCAGATTGGCGAAGGCTGTTGGCGATACTACGAAAAACTCCAATCTCGTCTCTGTTGTCATCTTTTATAAAGAAAATTTGATTATGAAGGCCTCCAAAAAGGGGTTTTATCTCAAAATTACTTTCGATATGAATTTACCTCTAAAATATCAAAGTACACAAGGAAAATGTAGGTCTCTCATCAATTGTCTAATACAAAAAAAATTAAAGATTTGTTTTAAATACAAAACTAAACATTATATCTACAATTCCTTTCTCTGCACAAACTCCATTATATTATCTAAGAGTATTCCACTGTATTGTTATTCAGCTGTTTATTGTCGCTCGAAGGGTTGGCAAAACCCTCGACCCTGTCCATAAGGCGAGGCGTCAAAAATATCGATAAATATCGGAGACCATTATGATGACATCATGAGTTAATTGAGGGTCCTACCGCCAGCGGTAGCCGGCTGAGCTAATTTAAAAAATGCAGCCAGGACGCACAAGTGCAGTTAGCTGCCGCTGGCTGGTATATTTATTTTTGACGCCTCGCCTAACATATGTTGAACCGAGGTGGCGCACCTTAGTAAGCAGCCAAAGCATTTATGTTAAAATCGGACAGGGTTACATATCGTCGACCATAATTTACCATTTATGTCAGTCTTCTTAGACTTATTAAGCACACGAGAACGAGGCCCACACGACAGACACGGTAGGTCTAGAAAATCTTCTGACAACCTGTCAACATTGTAAAAGGCCCACGAGACTAACAGGACACAAGACCGACATGTTGGTCTTCTTGGCTTTTCTGCCATATTTTTCTGACATAAGTTCACGAGACCGACAATGGCGTTCGCATGAGACTGCCGGTCTCACGGGCTTTTGGTCTACTAGGAATACCGGTCCAACTCACCTTCTGTGTCCTTGCTTGTGCTGATGTTGCTCTCCTCTTCCTCGTTAAACTCTGGGGGCGAACTTGGGACACTCTGAACGTCATTTCTCTGTGTGCTGCTCTCATCTGATTCGAACTTGATTGCCATGCCAACTGGGATAATATGTGCCATCAGCGCGCTAATGATGAGCAGTCCACCTCTCCAACCGTAAGCTTGACGTAGGAATTCAGCTATGAGTGGTAACAGAAACATTCCGACGCCATATCCAGTCAAACTAATGCTGAAAAGTAGGTTGAAATTTTGAGCCACGTGGTGCAATGTCATGGTACAACATATATGTACCATGCAATATCCAAGACCTGTTTCACATGAAAAGAAAACATGTAGGAGAATTGAAATTGGATTATCGTATCTGAATAAAATGCATAAGTACCCATTAAAATTTGATGTACAAGAATAATTCACGAACGTCATTTTTCAGATAAGTTATATTTTTTTAAATTTATTTATTTGACATATTTATACAGGATAAAAAAAGAAACAATCGAATCAGCAAAGCTGTTTTTCATCGATATCCTGTTAACATGATTAAATATTTCCAATTTAACAAATGGGATTCTTTTAATTACATCCGTCAAAAAATACACAAAATAAGGCTCTAAAATGCAAAAAAAAACAACACAATATTAGAAATTCGTTTGAAAGAAGTTAATGAATGGTCAATCTTATTTGTTGAGTGAAAAAATATAATAGCAACAATAAAGACGGTTTAAGAATCCCAATTATATCATAATTTAAGGTTCAAGCTTTCTGATTGTCGGAACTGCGGGCATTTAGCTATTGGACGCCTAAAATATCAGACGAAAGCTAAAACTTTAGTACGGGCAAAAGCTCCCTTTGTGCGTCGAACAAATTAAGAATGAACGTGTTTATAGTGGATACGCACAACAAGACACGATCAGTTCGCTAACTATTCCATGTATTCTATTGTAAATACTCTTTAAAAGAATTCACTTTACCTCGAGCATTAAACATATGTATGTTCTGATAATGCTGAGGATGAGGAGAATTATGATATAATCCTCGTAATCGTCATGATCATTATTATTTTCATTATCGTATACTGTATTTCTGAAACTGTAATTAGGTTGTATGTACGAATGAGCATATATGTGTGCCTCAGTAATCTAGGTTTCACAGACGTGGTTGAATCAGATAAAAGGATTTACGCCTGGGGACCGACCTTTAACGTCACTATCCGAAAGATGTGACTCAGTTTCAAACCGGGGTCACCTGTGCCAGTTTGTAGGCGAAGACAGAGAGCTGAGCAAACTCACATCTCCCTATCATCCATATCCCATATTCGTATTAAAAAAATATGTATTGTAATCATGAAGGGGGCTCGAAGTGTACATTTGATTATATCATCGTTGTAGCTAAGCAGAGGTTAAGGCGTCGTATTGCAATTTAAATTAAGATCTTTATATTTGTAATTAATAATTTCATATTTGCAATGTTCTTTTGACAGTGTATCACATGTTTCTACTAAATATTCTTCCAATTTGAAATATGTGGTAGCTGAGAGTTTGCGCTACAGGGGCCGCACTATATACTGTGCATTTACCTCAGCGCTATTTTGGCCCCGTTTACCCATGACCGCAAGTATTCTTATTATTATTTATTTATTCAAGTTTTATTTAAAATAGAGGGTAGGTACATTCAGTTTAACAAAACTGCTTTCCAAGTACGCCCTATGGAACAAACATCGATTTTCTAAATTTTAATACCAAACTAGGTAAATATTGTTATGGCATCATGAAATTTAATACAATGCCGCACGATGGCACGCTTTCAAATCTTCAAATGCCTACTACGTACTACCTATATTTGTACAAGTTACAGTAGTTGAGGATGTTAGGAGGAGAAATGGAGCAGTTTGTTGCAAATTTCTAAACGCACCACATTTGGTGATGCTACTCAATTGATTGGATGTCAAGAAGGGTGTCTCCTAGAGCCACCATTTTGGTCAGATCTAAAAATGGCCGCCAGATAAGTTTGCACAACGAGAAACTCTATAATAGGGGTTCTCAAACCTTTTAGTTGACGGTCCATATGTATTTATTAACGATGTATTGTCCGTTACTTGGGAAGCCCTTCGCCTGAAAATTACGGTCGATATTAAATTCAACTTAAGTTGAACAATGTACAATTGAGTGTTAGAAAACTGGGTACGACCCAAACATAACTCAATTTTGATTAAGACTATATAGACAATCTATACTCCTTGATTATACGGTAATGAAAATCGTATACTGAAAAAATGAGGCTAGATTTAGGTCTATATCTATTATAAGGAGAGTTGTTACTGGCAAAAGATAAACAGAGCCTACGAATTTTAACAATAAATATCGGCTTAGGGCCTATATAAGGCCTTTAAGTATTAACAGGGGCGTTGTGGCGTGCGCCTGTAATCCAGCTAACTATGGAAATTAAAAACTGATTCAGCCGAGGACGCAGGTTCGAAACTGAGTCACGTCTTTTGGATGGACCAGTTGACGTTAAAGGTCGGTCCCCAGACGTAAATAATCATATCTGATCATTGATACATGTCTGTAAAAACTCAACTACACACACGAAGGTTCGGAAGTCTTCAAGTAATCCCAATATATTTCATCCAGGCCATTCATGCATTTTCCACGATGTTGCTATTTTCTAAATGCACTAAGACAGGCACCGCTTTTCTTTCAAATTTGGTCCATTGTTTCTATACTTTTCTCCTTGGTGTTTCCTTTATCTACTCTCTCCTTCCCCCTCTCTCTCTCTCTTAGATCGTCTTCATAATTTCTCGTTTTTCCTGAGGTGTCTCTTTAGTTTTTACTATCTTTTATTTTCTCTATTTCTGTTCAGAATGTAAGACATTCAAATCGTAGTTATATAAATGTCACACATTCTACATTTTATGTGGATATGTGTCTGTTTGAAACAGTTTCCGTGTTGTCAACAATAAGTCAATTAAAGTTTTGACATCCCAGTTCTCAATGATTCTCCTCATTGGTGCCCTCCATTCATCTTTTGTCAAAAGCTAATGGCATTCTATTTAATTATTGTTTTGTATGCATCTATTTGCATTCGGTAGACAAGTCCTCTTCAAGAACTATTAGGACTTTTAGATTGAGTGGACGAGAACACGACGAACGCCGACTGATCATGCGTGTCAACGTACTCAACTGCCCATGTTGACTACAATTAGAAATCTTTTTGATTTCACTCGACGATATACATGCATACAGGAAGTATAAGCGTGCACGCGCGCGCACGCGGCATACTAGTACCGTACTAGATTTAGGAAGATCAAGGTTGAAGCAGTCTCGATCGCCGACTGAGACGACGTGACGCATGCGCAGTGCCTTAAAATGACGTCACAAGTTGCAGTCGAAGCTGTCGACGTGCAAATCTAAAAGTCCCTGTTGGTAGGGTGGTTCGAGATTGTCCTTAGCTAGCTTCCCGATCCACTTCTCCTGAACTACACTCCTATAAGATGGGTGAGAACATATTTTGGAAGTTGGGGTTTATAATCATCGTGCTTCGGTAATGCAGAAGGGGAGCTATATAAACTATAATAGTTTAATCAACCATGAGCTCAAATGGCGGAAGTAATCTCAAGGGGCGCCCTCCTTGACATCGAATCGATGAATTAACATCAGAATAAGATTTTCGATATCTGTAGGCCCCATCATTTTTCAGAGGTTAATTTCTCTAGCCATTTTCATTTTTAAATACTATTGAATTCCAGCTCATCTGGCGGGCTTTTTTTTTTATTGGACCAAAATGTCGGCCCCAGGCGGTGCCCTTCTTGGCGTCCGTAAAACATCTAAATAGTATGGCATGTTCGACGTCTTTGCCAAATGTAGTGCTTTTAGACCAATCTGAACCAAAGTATTCCTTACACCCATTCAATTTGGATCATAGTTTGTTTTCATGCTTTTTCCAAAAAGTGGAAAATCTAAATTATAACCTTCACTATAAAAGCGAAACAAATGATTTGATCAAATATTTTCAACAATTAACTCTCCCTCCCAACTTCTTACGAAAACCTTTCATGTAATCAGGAGTAAGTTTAAGATAAACATGGACTGTAATATAGCTAATAAGATTTTATGAACAGTTTCTTACCGGTTATTGAGAGATAGATTGACATTTGAGCGTTGCTGGTTGCCATGGAAGTCAAGGCCACGCCCATCGAAGCGAGACATGTACCAAATATTAGGAGCAGACGACGAATGGAATGGTGGCGATAGAGGGCAGCAATTATAGGAGCTATATGAAGACAGAAAAAATCTTATGCTCATGTAATTAGCAACATTTCTTATAACTGATATTCATCTGCTTGAATCTATTTCAAATATTAGTCATTAATTGAATATTTTTCAAAGGTACTATGTCCCATTTGCAGGCCAACAAAATGAAAAGATTAAATTCCAACGGCATTGAAAAAATAATACTAATTTAAAACTTCCCTAAAAAAGGTGAGGCTTGAAAATGTCTTCAAGTGGGAAAATAACGACTATTAGTTGTCAAATCGACTTAGGAGCTATAGAGTCAATAAGTAATAGTCTTGATTTTCAGACCATTGTACCGAATGGTCGTTTTATGCTGCGCAAAGATTCAATCAGTTTAATTTTGGCCATCACAAGAAGTGGGTTATTGATGTAGACAAATGCTCATGTACGCTTTACGGCTCATTTTATGTATGTTATTACCAAAGAAGAAAAAAGCCAGTCAGTCACTCAATAGTGTCTGACAGTGAAGTCTAGCAAGTAAACGGGTTTCCTTGCATAATTTGAATATTAGGACACTGCTAACGTTTAAATTTCACAGATAGGACATACATGACATGTTTTCATAATTCCTGCAAAGTTCCACAGAATTTGAGGTTGGCTGCAAAAGGGACATAGTACCTTTAACAAGATATATTACAATAATTATATTATTATCGATTGTTTAGGAGGGCTATCAAAAATATCCCAAAGAACATATTGTGAAAACATACACAAACTTCATTAAAAAGGGAAATCATATCAAATTACTGAGGAAAGAAGTACGCTTTCCGAGATCAAATATTAGTGTATGTGCCCATTTTCGAAGAAGGAATTGTGAGACGTTTTTCGGTAGATGAAAGTCTGGATTTTGGAATAATTAGGTTACATTTGTCAATTGTTGAGCGAAAGTTCCTAACAGGTGTTTATATTTAGAGGGGGGGGGGGGCTTTGGAAGGTATCATGCGAATTGCCGTCAGGGTTAACATTTCACGTCACGATCCATGTACAGCATGCAGTACTATTTTCAGATACCGAAATACCATACACGGTGTGAGACGTCACACACAAAATAGTACGTACTGTATTGCGAACATTCATAGTTTGTTCACAATTGTGTGCCGTACCTTCCGGTGCAGATATTTATGAGTAGACAAGTACATCTAAGCTTAACCGAAATGATATATACTGTTAATGTTATTACCATTATCATTTTCTGTTACTACTCTCGGTGACGTGAATATGACCATTTTCCTTCCAGGGCCCCACCATGCACTCATGAAAAATGTTTGCTGTCAAGTTACCCCAGGAACCATAGTTTCCGACCTGACCCTCGAAAAGGCATTTGTATGTGTAAAATGCGCTGTTATTATAAGGGATAGGGTAACTTTGCCTCAGATTTTTTTAAAAATCCAGAATTTAGCTCATGCTGCAATCATAATTATAAACCTTTAGGTCATACATGAATCCCATGACTTTTACAAGCTGATCGCCTGTCTGATTATCAAGATATTTATGATTGGAATTAGAAAGTTCAGAATTCGTTTTCGTAACGATTTTAATAACACTACAGTCTATTGGGGAAAATAACAACCGGTCAATCAAAGATTTTTACTTTTTTTGAGGCACTTCATGATTATTTTGAAGCGCAAACTTTGTTAAGGGCTTCAATATTACACCATGTCACAGAGACTGATAACACGTAGGGCCATTTATATCAGATTTAATATTGTTGAAGGTGAAATTCAAAGAAAATCACAAATATGTCAACTAATGTATCACTAGAAACTGGTAAGCTAACAGATGGCCATCGTACAAGTTTTAGGTCAACTACATATCGGGTGATTTATAAAAATACAAATACAACCACCTCCATAGCAGCTGGGATATACGAGAGACGAGTCGCCGGAAAATAACGATGTTTTAATGACGTCACTATATGGACCAATACTGCGCAAGCAGACGACATCCCATAAAGAATGAACATAAGCTATTATTTGTCAAATTGTAATGAGGTTAGTGTATATAAATGTAATGGCATGTCAAACCATTAAAAAGAGGATATAACCCGATTCTGATAACTAAAATCTTTTGCTTGTAAATACACAGGATAGGGGTTAATTAACAATCAAAGAAAACAGACATTCAAATTGAAAAAAAACCCGGAATGATATCAAGGACGGCATTTGTTCCCTCTTGAAACGCCGAACATATACCACGGTGTGTGCAGCTGAATATACTGAGTGAGTCCAAAAAAAGTTTACACCTAGAAAATTGCTAATTATTTTATAAATCGTCTATGAACAGTAAATTATTATACATCTTATAAAAGAGTGTTTTATCCCAAATCATTCAGTATCATTTTTGTGTGGTATGTGTTCACGCCTTGGTGAAGAGGAGGCATTGTTCGCGAGAGTGCAAAAATCGACTTGCGCCAAAGTTTCCTATGTGATGTTTGAATAAAACAATTTGGATTTGGGTATTAATTCGGTGTTTGCAGATCCAAATAACACCCCTAATAAAACTAATCATGACACACATTCAAATATCGAATATCAAATATCAAGGAACATTTGTGCGCGTGTGTGTGGGTGTGTGCAGTGCTCAAAGTACACGGGGGCGGTGGACGATTCGCCCCCTGAGCTACATAATCGCCCCCGTCAGGTTGCTCACGGGGGCGATTGCAAAATTAAAAATCGCCCTCGTGGAATTATAAAATAAAGATTATCTTTTCTGTTATAACTTTAACACAATATTGAGTTTCAATTTACAAACCTTCAACCAATGAAATGAAAGTTAGATAAGCGTGCAAGATTTCTCGTTCTATGAGTAGGCCTATTATTACGGATTCAGCTCGCAGAGCAGTGCCGCCGTCATCAGTGGTTATAGGCCTACTGCGCCGTTAGTAACGGTACGTGTGCACGCTGCCGCGCCATGTCTGCTGGAGCTATGGAGGCGATCGCACAAGGGCAGAAACATATGGTCATGGAGAAGTTTTTCGTTGTGAAAGCGTAAACCCGCTGAAATCTGGGGATTTCAAATGACCAGCAAATAATGAACCTCGACCAGTATATCAATATAGGGACTTTTTTTGCACGATGAGAACGTGGACTGCAACGTGTGACCTCCTGCACTGCCAGTGCTTAAAAGGACGTCACATGTGACTGCTAGTGCCTTAAAAGAACACGTCCACGTCCACGCAAATCTAAAAGTTCCTATTGAGAAGAAGAGGAAGACCAAGATGTCGTGGAATGATATGGTAACATGGGCAGATCTACGGGGGGGGGGGGGTTAGAGGGTTTAACCCCCTCCTCCCCCGGCCCCCTTGGGCTGCCAAGTGAAAATGTGATGTGCATAGAAAAACGCCATTATGTGCCCTTGTAAAAAAAAACCATGGATCCATGGTACGGTAAAACCATGGTTTTACCGTACCATGGATCCATTGTAAACCATGAAATAACAGGAGTAAATTGGAACAGACATATTATGGTTTTACCATGGATTTTCCATGGATTTTCCATGGTTAAACTGTGGTTTTTCCATGGTAAAACCAAGGTGTTACCACGGTAAAACCGCAAAGTACCGCAAAGTAAAACCATGGTTTAACCATGGTTTCACCATGGTTTCACCTTGGTTTCACCATGGTATGACCACGGCAAAACCATGGTAAAACTACAGTAAAACCATGGTTTTACCATAATATGTCTGTTCCAATTTACTCCTGTTATTTCATGGTTTACAATGGATCCATGGTACAGTAAAACCATGGTTTTACCACGGTTAAACCGCAAAGTACCGCAAAGTAAAACCATGGTTTAACCATGGTTTCACCTTGGTTTCACCATGGTATGACCACGGCAAAACCATGGTGAAACTACAGTAAAACCATGGTTTTACCATAATATGTCTGTTCCAATTTACTCCTGTTATTTCATGGTTTACAATGGATCCACGGTACAGTAAAACCATGGTTTAACCATGGTTTCACCATGGTATTACAGTACACCATAGTATTACAGTTTCACCATGGTATTACCACCTTGATAACATGGTACTACAATGGATCCACGGTACAGTCAAACAATGGTATTACCATGTTTTCTCCGTCGTTTAACCATAATTTCACCATGGCTTTTAGGTACAAACCATGGTGAATCCAAGGTGAAACTTCTGAAATGTAAATCATTTATAGAAAAGAGAAGCTATTTTAAATGTGTAAGAAATACATAATATATGTTTGATATCAGTGATGGGAGACACAATGAATGACCTGCCAAAAGAAATGAAAAATTGTGTTGAAAAAGATGAATACTTTTAATAAAATATATGTCACACACGTTTTAGAGTAATACATGTAAATGTGTTTAAACATCCTAGTCTTTAGACGTAAAGTGGCAAGACTTTATGCATGTTCAAATAAATATTTGTAATAAACTGTCTTACCGGTACACATAAAAAGTTAATTAGTAAACTGTTTGTAAACAGCACACACTTAGCAAGCTTATATGTATGAGGTATAGGCTAATGAGGAATAAAAAGGAAAGACTAAAATATTTCAATTAAGAGTACCATTACACTGACCACAACACCATAAAGCTGTCAGTAATAAGAACAAATATGGCAAGGTATCTGAGTATGCAAGATTTTTTTTTTTCCTGAGTTGAGGTCCTATTGCATATATTGTAATAATAAAAACTGTAAAGAGGGCATGACCCCAAAAAATCACACAAATATACAAAGATAATTTTACCAACTGCAAACATTTGATTTGTTTGAAAGGTAACAAGTTGTATCCCAATTATAGGTATTTGGCTAGTCAGTCAAAACAAGTTCTTCCCCTTCTTGTTTGTACCCTTTATTGTAATGCATTTCAGATGGTCTCTATTTTAACTCTATAATTCCAGCAATTGTTTGATACAAAAAACCTATAACTATATTTCTTCAATTGAAATTGAAATGTACTGTTTGAGAGGGGAAAAAAATTGTAATTAACACTGACTTAATGAGACAAACATAACAAACTTACAAATGGTAATGAACATCTTGCAAATAACTGGATCAATATGGACATATGTTTATAAAATGCCTTTTCACACCTATACACCCATATCCCTCCCTACACACAATAACAAGACCATCTCCTTGAATAATTGAACAAAATGGCCTAAGGATCAGAATTAAAAGCCTTTTATTTCAACCACTTCTATACTAAAAGCCACCCACCCCTCCCATAAAGACTTTAAACCTGAGTAACAATAAATATAGGATGTACCCTGAAACCCTTACAAGCAGGTATAACAATTGTAAAAGAGGAAATATGGCCCATCTTGTTCAACTTTTGGAACTATTAACAATGTGTTCATTTGAAAACTTATATAATTTTTTTGGGTTACTGTGTTACAATCATTTGTTACAAAACGATACTGGACAATGTCATATGTGACCTTACACCACAAAATGACCAATAGGTCAAAAAAAGGATTGTGCTGATTTTCACATGACATTAAAGTAGAAGTCAATATCTTAAAATGGTGCATAATTTTTCAAATAAGTAAACCCTCTCAAAACGAGCACCCAAGATTTAGAACATTGCTGAAGCAGATTTAAAGTCAAAGTCAGGGAGAAAATGGGCCACTACAAAGAACAGCTTCTATTGAAATGCTGTAAAATTATCATTTTCATTTGATTAAAACAAATATCATATTTACATACATGTACACATGATTTCCGACGCTTAAAATTACGCAGAGGGTTTAAGATACCCTCATTAGGAAATACCAAAATCCTGAATCTCATATTTTGAACAAAATTAGACTATTTTAGCTAGGTTACATATAAAAGAATGTAACATAACTAAGTCATCCGATGGTAAAGAGGAAACTTACTTAAGATGACATTTTAACCAGGCAAGTGGAATCTTACTACCGGTACTCTTAATTACAAAGTAATTATAGCAAATACATATTTTCTTGAACACAAGCTAGTTTCAGCACACAATGAAAGATTACACTAAGTGAATACATTTTAGCAAAATTGTTGGCATCGGCAAGTGAACGGATGAGTAAGTAACTCGATATTTTCACATTTAATAGAAGAAAAAAAATTGTAACATGAAAACAATCTTCTTTGGTCTTCCATCAGCTTTTGTTTGAAGAGCACAATAAACAATGTCATTTAAAACTGGTGAAACTGGTAGATATATGTGAACCAATATTGAACAGCTTAAAAATAAAGTCAAGTTCTGGTCATGCGATTGCATTGTGAAAGAAACGTTGTGGAATCGATCAGGACAGGTTGATCATCTAGCATATAAAAGTATTGGTGTGTACTGCAAGGTTCTGGAATCATCAAAATTATAAGAAATTTGGTCTAGTCTTGGTAAGGTTACAAGCACTGTACACAGAAAGATGTGAATATGGGACTACATGAACATGTGGCGTAAAAATCGAACCTCAATATATAATTTTACATGCCATGTTTAGAATATTAAGGCATTTGATTGAAGATCCATGCTTTTCAGGGCACATTTTTATCTGATGTACTGCCACACTTACATAATACAATGATAAAGCTCACAATTTTTTTTCACCTCTTCCCAGAACTCAACCTTCTCTCTAAACATGAATATCTAAATAGATGGAAAGTCTCAAACGCTGGCAAATTTTTGGGCTTATACATGTATACATGTACATATCAGTTGTGTAAACCAAATTATTATAATGTAAATCTAATCTGAATGAAAGATATTCCTAACACGAAAACAAGCATTTTTATATTTTTGCTGATAAAATACTGGTAAAACTGGCAGATAAATGTGAACCATTATTGAACAGCTTAATAATGACTATAAAGTGCTGCGTCATACCAGTAGCAAGGCTATCTGGAAAGTTTTGATGAGATGTCATGACAAAAATAAATATTCTAAAAAAGAATTCTTTAAAATTTTGTATTGATGAATTATACGCGTGAAGGTAAAGGTATAATTTTACTATACATAGAGAAGTTCACTTCAACAACAAAAAATATCAACAAAATTCAACCAAAAAAAACATGGCGTCCGAGTATTCGACTGTAAGCCTGGGAGTGTACTCGAGTACTTCATTACACGGTTATGCACAGCCTTACTTTAATAAGTGTTAAAGTACAAGTCCACTCCACTGAAAAGTTGAGTCGATTAGATAGACAAAGATCTGTACAGCCCCAAAATAACTTGGTTTTGGAAAATGGTGCTCAGACTTATTTTTAATAATTTTGTTTAAAGCCCCACTGTCCTACTTGTAGCTACTTGCTCCCTCTATATAGAAAACTTCCCCAATCGGTGCCTGTTGATCCCCCATGATCCTCTTTTTCTTATGTTAGTTGAGAGCTGAGTTAATGAGATAGCCACCTGTCAGTGACCTCGCTGTGTGGTCAAATCCCTTCTGGCCCAGTAGTATTGACGGTCTTTAAAGGCCATCTGTACTAGTTTGGCCAGAAGGGATTAGACCACACGGTGAGATCACTGACAGGTGGCTATCTCATCAACTCGGCTCTCAAATAACATAAGAAATAGAGGATCATGGGGAACCAACAGGCACCGATTGGGGAAGTTTTCTATATAGAGGGAGCAAGTAGCTAAAAGGAGTGCAGTAAGGCTTTAATGAGCAAAAAACAAGTGAATGATCGAGCCGGTTCCTCTCACAATGCATTGCGCGACATTTTTTGTGACGTAGGGTCCTCACAACACAGACAGAGGCGTATACGTCACATCTGTGCGGCAAATTTAAAAGTTTTGCTCGAAAAAAAGCTGTGTATTGAAGATTACTTTCTCAGATTCCTTCCGACCGAACAAAGGTGACAGGGTCGATTGTACTGGATGTACTTGCTGAATGTTTGCTGGTCAGCATAACTGGTATAATTTTGAAAAGCTCTCCTCTATAGGGATCCCATACAGATGAATTCTCAAACTCTCACCCATGTCTTGCATAATTTCCGTGAAGTTTGTTGGACAGTTTAGTCTTACAAATCAAGACTGCATGTTCACTGGAACAGTCCATGTTGACGACTTTCCCGCAGCCGAAGATACCCTGAAAAATAAAAATAAATATTAGCACATTGTAGAATTGTATTATATGCTCTCAAATCAAATATAGCGAAAATTATGAGTTGATATTAGCAACATGTACACTCTACAAATGTACCTCCCCCTTTGAAAGCACCCCTATCTCCTGTGTGTAATTTTAATACGGGCCAGATTTTTTAAACAACCTATTTAAGTCAATATGGGCCAGACTTTGTTGCGTTAAAGTACCCCTTTACCAGAGATTTGGGGTACACGAACGTGCTCAGAGCCCGTTTATGAAAGTGATTCAAACAGCGCTGTTTACTCGAAATTGCTGAATAGTCTCTATGCATGAATCGAAGAAACAAAGCCCTTCTCAACCTCTTATATAGGCCTATACAGCAATTTAGACAAACGGCGCCTAGAGTAAAGGAGGGGGTAATCGACCATCACCAGTTTTCGGCCGGTCCTTTGGATAGTGGATGCATAGTAAAATTCCTTTAAAATACATCCCATGATAGCATATCACATATTCCACACATGCCATACCATGCCAGAGTCACTGAAGAACCACATTTGCAATGGAAAATATATCCTAAAATATCACATTTTAGCGATGTAATCAGCGGTCCCGCTACCCGAATCTGAAAAATCGAGTATCTTACGCATGTCTGTAAGAAATATGGGTACCATAAAATGAGCTTTATTTCAAGTATTTTTCATATTTAGAGCCCGATTTTGTGTGAGTCCCAAGCTAAAAAGTATCTCATCGCATGTATTAAATCAATGCAGCCGAACACCGCAACGCACACACGATATCTCTGTCCAATTCAGATTCCAATTTCCGATCACCGCAGAACTAGTTTTCGGCATGGCGAGCTCCGGCTCGGGATACCTGCTCCGCCCGCTAGTACTATAGATCAGCGGGGAAACGCACGACGCAGGCGCGCTTCCTATTGACTTTGTACATACGACCGAAAACTGTCTCGCTAGGTCGATAACTGTCTCCGAAACAGTGAAAATTGAAATGGATATTGTCATGGCAATTCATGATTTTTTTTCTGGGATTCTTTGTTTGTTTGAATAATAATATTTGCTTCATGATTTGAACAAGAAATGATAATAGGAAGTAAAGAGTCCTAAAATAGGATTTTGTCTTAAGTGGCCGAAAACCCCCCTCCTATCATGAATATTAATATTTGCTCCGCCGTGACCGCGCATGCGTACTTTCTCCTCGCCATGTTAAATCAACGAACATGGATGAATCGTCGGGTTAGCACAAAGAATCACCCTTTTTCCCCCACGAGACTTCTTCATATTATGATTTCAAGTGGTTGGAAAGATGCCCAAAGGAGTAAAAAAAAACATTGTTAAGTCTAGTCAAAGTTGTAATTAGACTACCTCTTTTTCAGTATTTACTTTGCGAAAACATGTGACCAAACCCGCTCAGCCGCTGTTTGAATCGTTTTCATAAACGGGCCACATCTGCATGAGCTTCGATGCCTTTGGCATCGGCGTCGGAGCTCCATGGAGTACGTTACTTTCATGGATGCAGTATTGTACAGTATGGAATATAATCTAGTAAATCTACTATCATCATCAATTGCAATCCGTTTGGTTTTTTTTCATGAACAAAATTTACAAAAAATAAAAAAGAAGAATGAGATTTATAACCAAATTTCTTAATTTTTACAGAAAGCATACCCAATTCTGTATCAAGCCTTAAATTATGTTTAATCTTATTACTCACCTCCTGGAGAAAATGTTGACCTTAAAGTATAGCTCCAGCAGCAAAGCAAAGTTGGTCGTTTTCTGCAGACCGATATTTTCCCACACATGAGTGGCTGTGTGGGACTGTACTGTAGTATGTAGACCAGTGTGACTGTCTGGTAAATTGAAATCTAGATCTACTTCGAGTTCTTCATGTTGTCCAATTCTTGCTCTGGAATACTCTTAGTCTCGTACAATTCTTCTTTCCTGGTGTAAATCTAACCCTTATCCCCTATATTCTGGGTTTTAAAGGAAGACAAATTTGGCGAAACGGCAAAGTAATGGCTGGAGTGAAGAAATTCAAATTGGAAATACAGTGTGCATTCCACCACTAGATGGCAGCAAACACACTAATAATTGTATTTATTTTGGGGCAAATTGTTACAATTCCATATTATCGAATCAGTTCAAGGTCATCAAAACAATCGAGTAGTGCTGGTCATACATGTATTATGTATATAGTGGTCATAACTACATTGGTTACATGATAGTAGTTTTTTTTTAAAAAGTTTAATACTCGTGTTGAGACCATGTCAAAAGTGTAGTTAACTACGGTCAGACCGTTGTTTGATTTGTGGTAAAACCATGGTTTAACCATGTTTTTATAACTATGGTATCAGAACAATTCTAAAACCATGGTTTAACTATGGTTTCGTAACCGTAGTTTGTCAACCTCGGTAAAACCATCGTTTTAACTATAGTTTCGTTACCATGGTTTACAACCATGGCAAAACCATGGTTTGCACATGATTTCTTTACCATGGTTTTTGTATCTTGGTAGAACTTTTAAAAATGGTTTCGTTACCTAGTTTTTTGTACAGTTGTAAAACTATGGTTAAACCATGGTTTCCTAGCCGTGGTTTTTCAACCGTGGTAAAACCATGGTTTCATCCACGGTTCAATAGCCATGGTTTTTCAACTGTGGTATAACCATGGTTTTTAACCATGGTTTAGTTACAGTGGTTTTCGACCATGGCAAAACCATGGTTTCACCATGGTTTCTTAACCATGGTTTTTTAGCAATGGTTATCCAATGGTTCAACAATGGTTCAATAGCCGTGGTTTTTGTACCGTGGTAAAACCATGGTTTCATCCATGGTTCAATAGCCGTGGTTTTTCAACCATGGTAAAACCATGGTTACATCATGGTTTCTTAACCATGGTTTTTTAGCAATGGTTATCCAATGGTTCAACCATGGTTTTGTTACCATGATTTTTGTACCGTGGTAAAACCATGGTTTTAAGCATGGTTTCTTAACCATGGTTTTTTAACGATGGTTATTCAATGGTTAAACCATGGTTAAAAAACCATCGTTAAGAACCCACGGTTAAACCATGATATTGCCACGGTTAAAAAACTATGGGTTTTGAACTATTGTAAAACCATGGTATAACCATGGTTCAATAACAGTGGTTTTTCAACGTTGGCAATATCGTTGTTTAACCATGGTTTCTTAACCATGGTTTTTTAACAATGGTTATTCAATGGTTTAACCATGGTTAAAAAACCATTGTTAAGAACCCACGGTTAAACCATGATATTGCCACGGTTAAAAAACTATGGTTTTTGAACCATTTTAAAACCATGGTATAACCATGGTTAAATAACAGTGGTTTTTCAACGTTGGCAATACTGTTGTTTAACCATGGTTTCTTAACCATAGTTTTTTAACCATTGTAATACAATGGTTTAACTATGGTTTCATTACTATGGTTTTAGTACCATGGTTAAACCATGGTTTATTTATGGTTTTGTTACCATGGTTTTTGAACTGCTGTAAAACTATGGTTTAACCATGGTTTTGAAACCGTGGTGTAATAACTGTGGTTTAACCACGGTTTAACCATAGTTTTTAAACCATGGTTTATTAACAGTGGTAAAACCATGGTTTAACCATTGTTTAACCATGGTTATGTTGGTAAAACCATGGATACTCACGGTTGGATCCTGAAAACAGTCGATCCATTGTAAAACCATGGGTGAACCATGGTATTACCATGGTTATGATGGTAAAACCATGGTTTTTTTTTACAAGGGTGTCCAGATCGACCCACACAGTAAGATGTTAGTAGATGCCAGGAAAACAATACGGGGGTTCAAAATAGCAACAACAAAAAATCGCCTCGCCACTATGCGGCTCGTGGAATATGCTTCGCATGTAAGTAGATGCCAGGAAAACATCACTTACGGGGGTCCTAAATCAGGGGCGGATCCAGCCGGCGGCAAGAGAGGGGGGGCCAAATCTTGAGAAAATATTTAGCGGCGAATCAGCCAGCCGGCGATCGGCGAATGAGCGGAGGGGGGGGGGGGGGGGGGGGGGGCTGGATAAATGCACATATATTTTTTTTTTTTGGGGGGGGGGTCCAGTTTTGGGGAACATTTTTGCGCCGACTCAGCCGGCTGGTGAATATTAAAGCGGGGGGGGGGATGCTGGAGAGGAGGACCACTAATTTTTTTTCAGGGGGGGGGAGGTGAAGCGCCGTTTTAGCATGACTTTCTTTTTAACTCTTACTTTCACCTATCTCAGATAACCCTAAGTTTTTGGTTGCTGCTTTATATGTAGTTGATAATGCATGATTAAAATAAAGAGAGAAAGAGAGAACCACCATCATTTTGCAATGGTTTAGGGTTTGTGTAATGTACATTTGAAACCATTTCTTAGCGTCTCAACCCTAAAAAAATAGCGAAACTATTTTTGAGGAAAACCATTATACTGAACTGAATAAAGAATAATAGCTTTATATTGGCTCATACTAATACTGATACGGGCTAAAGACAATGTGGTATTTTTTATAGAGGTATTCCAAAATGACATTCTGATAATCAACATTTTGTTCTGGTATCATTATGTATATACGCATAATACAACTAATCTTTATAATTTTCTAACATTTCGTGACATCTTTTTCACCTGCAAACAAAAAAGAAAACAAGGTTATTTAATAAAAGGATCATGCGACAAATAATCATTGTGGTTCAAATTGATGCAAGGATTTTTTTTGAATAAGCAATGCTTTTCACCAGAATCTTCTTTGTAAAAACGACTTTTATAAATCTCAGCCATGCATTCAGCCACTGTGTTGTAAGATCACTTTCAGATTAGGAGAAGTGTATTCTTTAATGAGTATTTTACATTGAATGGAACGTCTCAACTCAGTAAGCATGGCTGAGATTTGTAAAAGTTGTTTTTACAAAGAAGAATCGGATGAATAGCAGTGCTTATTCAAACAAATATTCGCATCAATTTGAATCACAATCGATGACCTTGTTTTCTTTCTCGTTTGCAAGGGGAGAAGAAGATATGTCACGTTAAAGACATCATAAAGATCAGTGTTGTATGCGTATATATTATATACACAGGCCCCGCGTTTATCAAAGTGGGGGGCTAAAGTATTTACGATCAGGTGGAGGGTAGCGAGCGTAAATTGGTGTGTGTGTGTGTGGGGGGGGGGGGGGGTCAGGGGTTTTAGGCATTTAATTACGGTCAGAGAAGCACAAATATTTTGATGCCGCATTTGTGTCACTGGCAGGTCAGGAGGGCGGGCGTTTTTTATTTTATTTTTTAAGCTAAAATTTACGTTACTATCCTATTTTCACTATGAACATGACTGACAAAGAAAGCGGACAAAATATACAGTTTCTCGGGTAGACAAAGGAACATTCCTTCACTGCTATTATGTAAAAAGGTGAATATGCATGTGACACCTGTTCTAGACATTTTTACATAATAGCAGTGAAGGGATGTTCCTTTGTCTACCTGAGGAACTGTATATTTTGTCCGCTTTCTTTGTCAGTCATGTTCGTAGTGTTTTTTACCGGTTTGGGAGGCTAGGGGGGGGGGGGGCCGGTAGAATCGGCCCGTGGATCCGCGTCTGTCCAAAATAGCACACACACAAAATCGCCTCTCCGCTACGCGGCTCAGTAAAGAAAGAATGTAAAGGTTGCACCCAATAATGAGGAGGAAATAATGTGCAGAACGGGAAGACATCGAGAAAATGTCATCACGGGATAAAAGTCATTAACAGCTATGTAGCTTGTAAATTTGTAAGAGGGAAAATGCTGATTAAAATGATAATGATGAAACAGCAAATAATTGAGGAGTACCATAGGTACCAATTCAATGGATATTTGTATAAAAAAAGAGCCCCCGTCAGTACTAAAAGAGCCCCGTGAGCCTTCTCACGGGGGCTCTTTTTTTGGGAAGAGCCCCCGTGGACAACAAATTTATTTGAGCCCTGGGTGTGTGTGACTTTGCCCAGGCGCGTAGCCAGGGGGGGGGGCGGTGGGGGCGGTCGCCCCCCCCCCAAAACGCCGGCCAAAAAAAAAAAAAGAGAGAAAGAGAAGAAAAAAAAGAAAGAGGACGTAGGAAGAAAAAGGGAAAAGGAGTCGAGAACGGTACAATGAATCTTCAAAGCTTCCGCGCTTCGCGCGGAAAGGGGGAAACTGAGTTCAAATTAAGAAATATGAGTCGGGAAAGGTACAACGAATCGTCTTCTTTCAAAGCTTCCGCGCTTCGCGCGGGAGGGGGGGGGGGAAACTCCCCCCCTCCCTGCACCCACCCCCCTAGGGAGCGCTCTTTAAGTGATTCGCACGCTTTGCGTGCTCACTACCGCCCCCCCCCCCCCTAAAATGAAATCCTGGCTACGCGCTTGACTTTGCCCTTTGCGAAAAACATATGCAATGCATTTCATTTGATACATTCAATCCATTCTCTCACTCCACTAATCCCAACATAATACATACAAAAGGCATCACTTTGGCGCAAGTCGATTTTTGCACTCTCGCAAACAATGCCACCTGTTCATCCAAGGGTGAACACATACCACACAAAAATGGTACCAAATGATTTGGGATAAAACACTCTTTCATAATATGTATAATAATTTACTGTTCATAGATGATTTTTAAAATAATTAGCAATTTTCTAGGTGTAAACTTTTTTTGACTCACACGGTACAATGGCGTCTTATTTTGTTTACAAGCGACAGATTCCTTTATTTTTGCATCGCTGCATTTGTCATCAAAATAAAACCATGCGCGGGGTTTAGAGTGAGGCAATAAGTTATACATTTAGCCCGACGGTAGTGAAGTAAGAGAAAGAACTCAAGATAAGATGAAAACACAGGCACTGAAAATGTGTGAGATGTCATGGGACATCGTCTGCTTGTGCAAATCATGTCCATACTGTGATCTCACACATCTCAGCAGCGTTCGGAGAGCTCTTCAGGTGCTATACCGGGGCTGTATTTAAGCGTTTTGTAATTTATAATAATCATTACTTCGAATGTTTCAAAGCAT